CAGTATTTCTTATTGTAAGCTATACAATAAGAAATACTGGCTTCGTAGAAAGTAGTCGTAGTGGCACACTGAATGCTCTGTATATTGAGGAGGAAGTGGTGTAGAGGCACGTGGCACTCTTATCACCGCATAGTCCGAGTATCAGATCCCGGAGGGCTCTCGCGCAGGGCAACCAAGCCTTCTACTCTCCTAGGACAGCAAATTGGTACCAAATTCGTATTTCGTCTTGCACATCAGCTGGCCCTCGCAATCCATTGCATAGGCCACATCACATTCAGTGAACCACCACGACTCTGAATGCAAGTAGAGCCCCATCCCAAAAAGGGTTTATTGACGAACTTTGTCTTTGTAGACTTTATGTAGGCCCATATTTCAACATAAACTAAGATTTATTTGACACCTGCTTCATAAAATTCTTAGATTAACATATGAAGCAAGTTCTAATATGGCTTATGTGGTATAAAGGCAAGTAGCGCTGTTTCCATGCGCACGGGTTGAAGATCGAGTCCTAGGTCGAATCTGTACAGGACCAACTAGGTCATCTATCGCTTTGATGTCTGTTTATTGAAATAAGGCATATAAGGGATAAAAAAGGTATTGAGGTGTACATAAGCGCCTACTAGTTACTGTAGAGGCATGTCGCTCTGCCATCTTAAGTGTACCTCTTGATATGCCAGTACCTAACAATAAGAGCGCTAAAAGGGAATTAAGAGGATAAGATTCCACATCAGGAAGTTGACGAGCCTCTCTACTACTTCATTAGCAAGTAGTTTTCTTTCCATTGATATGAGCCTTCGTCAGTTAGCAGCATTGTCTGTTAGCCCTTGGTAAACAAGATCCGTTAATCCATGGAAATCGATTTATCTGCGACTCATCCGAAATCATTTGCATATTTTAATCTCCGGTAGCTCTAGACCTGTATAGTAAGAAGCCTATTTCAGAACTTCTCATTATTTATATTTGCGCCTGAATTTTTATGGTCAAAATAGTTTCTCGATCCGTTTAGGGAAGGAAAAGGCAATCAAATGTCAAATTGTCAAATTACAAATGTCAAATGTCTAGTTCAATTAATTACATTTTCATCAATATTCGGGAATGTTCAGTGCCCTTCAGTTTTATCCGGCTGACACAGTGGTGGCTGGAAACAGTGATGCTTAATCAATCAGGTTGTCTTTACTGATCGTTTCCTCCGATTGCGCCGTGCATTTAACTTTTTCTGGGAAAGTGGAGCTGTTTGGATGAGTACCTCACCTGCTCAATGTCTTGCCACGGTCAAACTTTCTACTGCTCAATGCTTTCACTTCACAGGGTAAACCTGCTTCTTAATATTCGGAGTCCAACCTCGATCTGTAAATAACGCGTGTGGTAAAGACGCTTTTTACGATTGTTCCGCGAGGCTATCTCACAGCTGGAGGGTCAAATCTTTTTATAGGGATTTAATGTGGCGCGTGCCACAGTATATTCACGCGCTGTGATCATATACGTATTTATTGCGGCAGTTGGTGTTTCAGTGATGTATTCGAGATAACCCGCAAAATGCTGGGACTTATTGATCCGCACGGATTCCCTGATATCTCCTAGCAGACTAGGAGCAGTGAACTTCTCAGCTTGACACTACTACTCAGCCAAAAAAACGATGTTCATTAAATTGCTTCGCATTTAACCGTGAAAAGTTTCCGCAATGCTGATTTCTGTGTACATTTTTACATTCGATCGTTTTTTTGGCGACCATAGGAAGATTTTTGCTTTCAGTTGGCGCTGGGCCTCATCCAATGGCTGTAGCGCTTGCTCCCGTGCACAGAATTGATTATAGTGTTACAAAGGTAATTTTTTGAATTGAATTCAACGATTTTCAATTGGGTTTTTGACGCACTTGAAGAGAGCGGAAGTGTTTAGGGAGGCGCACGTACCTGGGCAGTTCTACTTGTCTTTCTATTCTTATGCTCTGGTCTATACACAATATTTTCGTCCAAAGATCTTTCAGAAGGAGTCGATAGTATGTTTCATAGTTTTTCATGGGCGTTTTACTTTTTTATTTTTACTTTCTTATTTATTTTTTTATTGTTTCATGGTGCAACGTAGTTGAGGATTGTTATGTGACGCCGCGTCTGTGTATCTTCTCCTGGACAACGCACATGCAAGGCGCAGACCACCAAAGTCGCCATGTGGCCTTGTCTTGTGATGCAGAAAAAGAGGCGCTGCAGCGCGGTTTATAACATTGTCATCAAGCAACCTTGCACTTGTCGCACTTACCACACTTTCTAATCATTTCATTTTTGGTGATTATTAATTTACTTTTGGAGCTTATTCATTATTTACTCACTTCTTTAGTCGCTTATTTTTTATTTAGCTAACTTGTGAATTTTTTTACTTTATGCTTGTTGTCACGTTTTATTGCCCTTAACTGTGCGCGGAAGGGGCGTTTCCGGTTGCAAGCGATAGGGTTGGGTGTTTGTGGAAAATTATTGGCTTAGGGCCACTATAGTCCCAGCTCGGCTCTACTATAATGATGGCGTCTCTGGCCACTTTTTCGTCCGGACTCTAGCAGCTACTGCCACGCTTTTGACTATTTCCGTATGGACGCCCCTTTTTGCCACTAGATATGGACTGTAGTTTTGACTTGGCTCGTAGTGTCTAGCCAATGGCAGGCAATTATTGTGTTACAAAATTTTTTCGCTCTGCGCGATCCCTTATTCTATCCATGCATTTTTGTAATGAGCAATTTATCTGAAAATGTATTGCAACACGTATAATGGTCCGTTTCTTCATGCGAACCACTACCATTTCCATTTACTGCTGTCATTCAGCAACTTTGCGTGTGAATGATGTGCATTGTTTATTTTTTAGGCGTTCGCAGGGATCGTCAAAAAGATTTAGGGGATGATGACAGCCGTTCAGAAGTTGTACCGGATAATCGCAGGTTAGTGTCAGATGAGTACCCTTTTGACGACTTTCCTTTTTTTCATATGCGCGAAATGATCATTCCTTTGTTGTCTTGATTTGTTTTTCATCAATGTTCCCTTTTGCTGGGTTGCTGGGCTCAGAATGCGCGGGTCCTATCAATTCTCAATGCCCAGACTTTTTTTTGAAACTCTGGAAATGATTGAAAGCCCTCTATACGCTTGTGGTGCAATAATGACTGACATTTCTTGCCGTTCTTCGCGTTCGCCCATATTGCTGCACTTTATCTCTCGGTGTATTAGTTTGAGGTGGTGGACTGAGGTCATGATACATCTAGTTGCCAGCAATTCAGCTAATGACATACGTCATCAGACAGTAATGCTGTAATCAGGGCACGTCATGGCGATGAAGCAAATGGGTCGTTTAGCTTCAACCCTTTCGCTACTGCCTAACATAAATCTTCTTCAACCTACAGGTTGCACTCTGCAGTTGATATCGCCGTATTCTGTCGGAGCGGTGCCAAGAAGCATAGAACTGATCTCAGCAACGACGTTTCCATCACTGGTTGTTTTCTTCTTAAATCATTCGCTAAGCGATCACTGTTGGTAGGAAAGGGCAGCTGAAGGGGAGCTCAGTCCTCTCTTCCTAACACCGTCTCGAATGCTGCGGTGATATTAACTTTTCCTATGTATGTTACCTTCCTACAACTATTCCGTCCCCAAAGTGGTATCAGTTTCTACTAGAACCCACCGAAAATTCCCTCAGTTTTTTCGGTCGGAAAAAGATTCTTCTTGACAACCAGGATTCCTCTTGCTGAAAGATCCTGGACACTAAACCTTAGCGGGTTTTCTCTCGAATTTCTCCCTGCCCTTTGGGAACCTTAACCATCCATATTCCATCCATTCAATTGGAAAGAAAGCAAATACTTGAACCCGTAGATTTGAAATCATAGCCTTATCTTGGCATCGGAAGTTTTAGGGTAGGCAGCTTGAGAGCTCTCCTCATAATCCGCTTAGCGTATGCAGATATTATTGCTTTTTTCATCATTTATGCCTTCTTGTTCCTCTTTTCCTTCTTTGGCCTATACAGTGACTTGGGGGCCAGCCAATGTACAATAAGTGTTTTACCTTCCCGTCGAATCTGGAACCAGTTGCCCGGAGGGTGGAGGACATGACTGGCGTGGGCGCGAGCCGGTTAGGATTTGACTCCTGCACTGCGCGCGTGGTAAACGTACCGTTTGTCACTACACCATCTCCATCACTAGTTTTATTACAGTTTCATTAATATTATTTTTATTATTACTGCACCGTTATGTTGCTATTGAAGGCGAAGCCCGCGATCATTCGCTATCACAGATAGTGGACTAGGAGTTCGCATATAGACGACGAGTTTCTGAGTAACTTGGTGAGGAAAAAAAGCAGGAAAAACATGGTAACTGCGCTAAATAGAACCCCATCCAATCCCAGTTTGTACGTGCCCAATTAATTCCATTTTCAAAGCTACGCTCTTACCCGCATAGCTGATTCCCCGAACCCTTCGACCGCACAAGTGACGATTTTCATGCTTTTTCGTCCTGCAGCTTCGTTTTTCACTGAAAGGCGGGCCTTGAAGGAGTCTGGAGGCGGAGTCACTGGAAAAAGGAGGCGTCACTGAACCTATATTGCGCTATAGCGCCTCCCTTACAATTTTTTGCGCAAAACCGCTACAAGGTTGTTCGTCGCGGGCCACATTACTCTCCCAACGCATGTTTTCGACTTCTATACCCACGGACCGTACCTTTGAGCTTTGCGCCAACTAAGCCTACATATTGCTACTAACGACTTGTGAATGCAAAGTGAATAAATTTATTTCATGCTTTCCCTGATGAGACCGTTTATCCAATGAAAAAAACCTATTCTAAAACGAAAGCTAAAGCATTCCATTGCATCCTTTGACAACTGAAAAAAAAATTGAATCGTCATTTAAAAGGAAGACCGGAATGATTTACATTGCAAAGTGACTATTATAGTACTTTCTGACTTGCTCCTGAGACAATGTTTTCTCACGTAAGTCTTTTTGAACGCATTATGCATTCGTGCGTGTATACGGTACCTTCAAGCTTGCTCAACTGCACTTTCAGGCCGGATGAAGATGATGACTCTGTCGAAGAATCTACAGAACGAACAGGTTAATCGTTCAAGTATTCCTGGTTTAGTAATCGTATAATCGTTATCATTCACCTACTTTATTGGCTTTTTTTATCTGATGATGGGTCACTAATTAGCGCAATTCTAGCTGATGACGATGAGGATACTGAAGAAGACCAACCGTTAGAAGATCAATTATTTGCGGGTCTACGAAGAAAAATTGAAAATAACATAAAGCGGGTCAAACAATTCGTTGAGGTACTTATACTGAAAGTATTTTCTTATGTCGATTAATTTCATTCGTGTAAGGTAAGACGGGAAAAAACGCAAAATATCTGATCGGTATCGGGAACTCCCTTTCAAGATTCGAACTAACATTAGATGTCCACTGTTTGATTTTGTTTTTCTCTCATATTATTTTTTGAAACCGCACAGGAGCCAGAAGTCGTTCGAGATGCTCAAACTGAGGACGACGGCGAAGAGCCACAACTCCCTCAAAAACGACCAAAACGAAGAAAACAAAAGGAATCTCGTGTAAAAGTAGAACCAACAACGCAGGTAAACAAGTGCGCTGAGCACTGCCACTAATTTTTTCGCTCTTCTGCGAATAATTCAAGTTACAATTTTCCGTTCCCACATATTAGGTCTGAATTTGGGGCTCGTTTTCATTCAGTGGCTTATCAGGGAATAGAAGGAAAAGTTAAAGAATTAAGAAATATCGCATAGATTATACAGTTGGTATTGTCGCAATCAGTTTAGTCGGTTTTAGAGGGAGGGAATGAGCCTCAACCGCGTCCTTACCACCATTAGTTGCTTTTCTGAATTGATTACGAACCGATAAGCTCTTCCAGCCCCTCCCAACACTGCGGCGATTGATTGTGACGTCATCAACTACACTTTATATCACCGCAATTGTTGGGTCGCAATCGGCGATGAGGCGGAGATGGTGTAGTGACAAGTGGGGCGCTCACCATTCGCGCGGTCCCGGGTTCGAATCCCGGGTCGTGCGGAAATATCCGCACTGGTGCGGAAATATCCACATTTGCCTTACCCTCCGGGGACGGTGAATTGGTACCAGATTCGTCTGGGAGGATAAAACACTGACTTGTACATCGGCTGGCCACCGCAAGTCATTGTATAGGCCACATCGCATTCAATAAGCCACTACGATTCTGAATGGAAGTAGAATGCGTGCCGCATCCCACAAAGGGATTGATCAACGGCGAAGACTTTATCCTTTTATCCTTTAATCGGCGGTTCTCACGTTTCCATCATTGGTTGTTTCCTTCCTAAATCGATTTCTACCCGATCGCCATTGGTAGAGCAAGGGAGCCGAACGCGGACTCGAACCGCGCTGCTCACGCCGCCTCCGACAGTCCGCAATGATGAGGACTGTATGTGGTCTTTGTATGTCAATGAGCATCTTCTGACAATCCGACTGTAGCTAGATGCGAGGTTACAGGCCACGGGCCAATCCTGCGTCGGGACAGGGGCTTGAAAGCTTCATCTCCACGCCAGGTAGAGACCGCTGCGGTGTGGATGAACCGAATCATTCGTTCGATATTTGCGCCAAGGACTTCCAAATCGAAAACTGATAGCCATTTGTCCAAACAGGGACTACATCAGCCTATGCAAAATTTCATGGATTCCCCATTTTTTTTGCTTTTTTTCGTTCCTGAATTCCATTGGATTGCTCCTAACTCCGTGAATTATTTCTAGAAAAATGTCAAAAGCAGGTGGACGAAAATGTATTATTTACAGGAAGGCGAGTCGCTTTGTTGCTGCTTGTTAAAAATGCTTTGTTTGCAGCGTCGCAGGGTTGAAAAACAAGGCAAAGGGAAGCGTCGTGTGGTGGAACAACAGGTCGAAGATGACCAGGATGACGACGACGTTGAGCTGGACGATGACGATGATGAGACAAAGGACGAACCTCCCGAGATTGAAGTAAAGTCATGCCCTCCTAGTAATTCCTTTGAATCATAGTATGGCGCCACCTGTAAGCCACTTCTTATTCTTCGGTTGCTTGCTGTATCCAATGGAAGGTTTTTTAAACGCAGTATTTTCCTTACGTGGACTGGCCTCCCACCCCCTCCCCACCAATGATGAGCGGCACTCGCTTCTATACTGGGATCTTTCTTTATATTGGCTGGAAAGGGGTACACACAGGGTTCTGCGCTAACTAACCCAGGATCTAGAAACTGTCACATTGCAATTCCAGTTAGTAGTTTATTGAGCTCCTTAATCCTCAGAGTTCATCTGGTTGGTGCCGAGTTCGCCGGCGAGGAAAAAGTGCTGGTCTCAAAATTGTGTGGATATCACGAAGCTCAGCTTTTCTAGTTTCCTTTTCGTGGTGTGTTTGATGCCAAAACTTCATTTCAGGAACCAGAGGAAGACATTGCTGAAACTACAACAGAAGAGCCTACTGCCCATGAGGTAAAAGAGGCCGAAGCCGATTCCGATGATCAGCGACATCATCGACGGATGAAAACTCATGGTTTTCGGTAATATTCTATTCTATTTTTTATTTACTTTCTCTTCTCCATAATAGGGACCTTGGCTTTATCGGGGTTATGCCTGAGTGTGCCTCTCTTTGAACTTTTTGTGGTGATCATATGAATATAGGCAGAGGATCGTCTGGGTATACAATACCATTGCTTGTTGGTGCTCACTTCTCTTCTAAGGCGGACAAGAAGAGAGTGAGTTAGTGAGGAGAGCACAACAGTATACGTGACTCCGCCTACACGATCGTGGATTGTGCCCTCCAGTTTGACTTTTTTCAAAAAAGTAGGGTACTGCTGGTTGATTGTGTCCGTTTTATCACATTACGGCAACAGCACTAACTGTCAACCTACATGCCTAGAATCTGTTTATAACTCCATTTACCCATGCCATCTTTTCCCGTGATTCGGGGGGGGGGGGCAAAGAGTCACAGAGGCATCGTGGCTGCTAAGCTGCCGACTAACGGAGCCGTCCTTTTTTTACCTTCATGGCGGGGGCAGTTTTTCACCGTTTTGCGTTTTTTTTACCTTCTCAGCAGCTATTTTCAGGCACCTCATGGCTGATTCCGTTCCGGAACGTGAATGTAAACGAAAGCATTGCCCTCCTGCCTACCAAGCTGGACCAAGGCTTTCGCTTCTGAAACGGAAGAATAAGGTGAACTTTGCTCGGTTGCGAAGCGGTTTGGAAGGGGGGGGGTCATCTCGCCAGTTAGTCAATTTTTTCCCAACTTCGTCCTTTTGGTGAGACCTGTAAACACTTGTCAACTTACGAAATGGTACGAGCTCCATTATGTATGGCGGCACTCTCCTTTACAGTGTTGACACGTCGTCAAAAAGCGGCCTGCACAGCCTTCAGCTGCGTAGCTGGCTGAGTACCATTTCCTAGCTTTACAAGAGTTTACAGGTCTTCACGTCGAGGAGAACTAGCAGTTTGTCCCTCCAAGACTAGAAGCGCTACGGCTTGTTCTACTTTCTGTTGGGTCAATGATATACAACCGCTTTCACCAGGGCTCCCGTGTTGAAGTTGAGGATGACGACGATGATAACAGTGCAGAAAATGACGAGGATGATGACGATGGCGATGATGATGATGATGATGACGATGATGAACCATCTCAAGTTAAACATGCCGAAGTTGCCCTCACCAAGCAGAGGTATTTGTTTGCGTTTTTGATTTAGCGCTTTTTTTTGTTCTGTTTTCTTCGTTTTTCACTTTCACAGATGTGAATTTAATTTAAATCTTAATTTAATTTAATTTAAATTTAAATCACAGATGTGAATGGATTGAATTTTTAAGACTTCTCTTTGTTTTACTTCTGACTTCTCTTTGTAAATGTGGTTTTAATGAGATTTCAAAAATTACCACGTATCATTCAATTTATTCGCTTAGTTTTGTTCTTATGTATAAGATTCAAAAGAACTCAATTTCCGCAAGCGTAAAGCTACCGTGCTCGCCTGCTTTTAGACTCTCCTGCTTTTCCGTTGCCTACCAGTCCTGTTCATCAACGACAACATACTTTCCACCTTCCCATGGCCCATGATAGCACTTTCTCTGATCGTAATTTGCCAGTAGTGGTGGTCAAAATACTAGTTTCTGAATGCTGAATCACCCAATCGGTGAAGAAAAGAGCACAGAGCACCGTTGAAAAGTTCGGGTATGTTGCAAGGGAATCGCAATTGGCCGCCAGTGGGCGTCGCGTGCAAAAATAAACATAAGTGCCTGGCATGTCCGTGTCTACGTGAAATCCAAAGCTCCAGCGGAAGGGTAGTACAAGTTAAGGAAACATCGCACTCATTGCTGCGATGAAGCGACAATTTACAGTCCTCATCATTGCGGACCGGTGGGGCGTGTCAGCCAGTATGAGTGTGCACACTGTTGAAGCCGTTCTCAGCCTTTTTGTTGAAACGCGTATGCGACAAAAAGTGGTAGAAAACGAGTAATACGAAGGATATAATACAGTAATGTCACTTGCCCGCTTCAACAACTGGTGCAGAACGACTTTGGCACCGCGCCAAACGCAGCCGCACTGACACGCCCCACCGGTCCGCAATGATGAGGACTGTACGATTCTGTTGTCCGTCTCCCGAAAGACTCATGAATATGACCCGGTTCATTTCAGTATAGGACCAGCATACGGAGAAGCAAGACATTGCATGCGCGGGCGAGTGTTCACATACAAAATACTGCGCAGAAAGATGAGAGATGACGGACACGGGGTCATACAAGTATATTGCGGACCTGCACATAGATCAATACACTGCCGTTCATCTCTGGAATGTGTTGCCGTTGACAGGTAGCGCGTTCAGGTGTAATGGCAACCTCGAGTACTCCGGCTCGTCACTCACTTTCGATCCACGAAAGTGCAATGACGGGTCGCGCTACTCCTCCAGTAGGGGGACTCTACGTGCTAGGCAATCATGGAATGAGTCCTGAACAGTTCTCTGATTCCCCTAGTTGGCTCCTTGATTGGTGCACGTGGTGTTGTGTCATATGGGAAGCTTATCGCGCCCACTGTCCAGGGACCAATTCCGGGTGTGCTCCCGCACAAGATGACCAACCCTTCTACCCTTCCGAGATGGCAAATTGGTACCAGATTCTTTAGTGAGGGAAATTGACTCCTGCATCGCCTGCCCTTCGCATTTCATTGTTTAGGCCGCCCGCATCGCATCAAGAAGTCACCACTATTCTGAACGGAAGTTGAATGCGTGCCTCATCCTAAAAGGAGATCAATAGATGAGGACAACCTTATCCTTTTTCTAGATTTTATGATCCTGTCCTGCTAATAGTCCTCTGCTTACGACCCCTTCACAGACGCAATTCAGGACGACCCTCCTATGGGGGTTCTTGTCACAAAAATGTTTGGATATGGGCAAAAGACAAGACCCCAGGCAAGACTCGAATCTTCATCACACGTTCATGGGGGTAATGTCCTCCCCATTATGTCAGGACTGCTCTCCATCCTCTCGGCTCGATGGTCTACGCGTGCTACAGTAAAGCAGCAGTTATCAGAGTAAAAGTCTCTGAACCGACCGATAATTTTCAAGGGATAATCATCCTTTCCATGAAGGGACTCTATAAACATGACAGGCTCACTCACACTTCGATTTATTACATCTAAAAACTAAATTGTAGTACAATGGGTAATCACTAAAAGTAATTTCCCCTCCGCCCCTTGTGCCAGCGTTTTACGTGCTGTGATGGCAATTTGTCTAGAAGATGTGACCAAAACAGAATGTGACTGTGACGGAGCGTGGTGATTGGATAAAGTCACAGAAAATTTTTGTAATTTCATCTGAAATTACTTTTGTTGTTGTGTGACTAAGTATGATTGGTATTTGAGGACTGGCGGACGAGAAGCGTACAGACGTCAAGCAATAACGAATCGGGACGATCATAAGAACCGTGATGCGCTGGATCGAGCCGATAATCTCGTCGAAAAGGTGAAGATGAAGCGTTCTAAGAAGAACAGGAATCGTGATGATTTGTAGCAGTTACTGGTAGCGCATCGGATTCGTTTTTCCATCGCCACAAGAAAAAGCATGTTGAATGCCGATTTTTAGGCACTTTAAAGGGTATCTCGGCACTATTACAATTCGAGAATGTTAAAGAGAAATCTGGCTAAAATCTCATCTATAGGAGCCAACTTTTTGGCATCGGCGCGATTTCGCCCTAATTTTTCGCCATCCTTTTTTTTATCACATATGCTGAAAGTCTGTTTGGTACGATTCACTGTCCCTCATCTCCCCCCCCCCCACTTGCTCAAAATTCATCAAAGGGATTCTGGTCGATATCGCTCACCTAGAGCAGTTTCCATAGGTATTTCGTCGCGTAAAAGGCGGAGTGGTGTAGTGACAAGTGGCGCGCTTACCACTCGCGCGGTCCGGGTTCGAATCCCAGGTCGACACCCGCCCAGGCCAACCAAGCCTTCTACCCTCCGGGACGGTAAATTGGTACCAGATTCGTCTGGGAGGATAAAACACTGACTTGTACATCGGCTGGCACCGCAAGTCATTGTATAGGCCACATCGCATTCAATAAGCCACTACGATTCTGAATGGAAGTAGAATGCGTGCCGCATCCCACAAAGGGATTGATTAACGGCGAAGACTTTATCCTTTATTCCTTCGCGTGCACCTCAGAAAGCCAGGTTTTTCGCTGAAAACTCGTCCCGAAGGGTAGTTTCGCCAGGCACCACATATGATGCAAAAACGCCGGGACCTGTGCTATGAGCGCCTCGTTCGCTATAGTCGTGTTCGTGTGAGATGAGTCTGATATGGGTTATACTACCTCAGGGGCAAAAAAGCATCCAAACCTGCTCCCGAAGATAGTATTCAATCGAAATTTTGAACTAAATTTCGAAGATTGAGGCAGTACAGAATTAAAATGGTGCCGCTCTTGCTGCTCTCATCTGAAGCGTTTATCACTTCAATGACCTTATTTTTGGTGGCTAACTAGTGCCAGATTCTCGTTAACCAACGGGACAATTATTCCATAATTATAGTAACAGCTTTTGAGCTCAGCGAACCACCGTCATCTGGCACCAATCCGGTGGTATCCCTACCACCGTACAATATCTTTCTAGGTGTCGGGGAACGAGTGTTGCCGGATCAGTTGAATGTCCCAGCAGAGCTCCGTTGCAAAAACAAATATCATAGTCCTGGTCAGGGTACTGAATAGCCCCTGTAGACGGGTTTTTACCGGAAATTTTTAACATTTTCGGGTTTTAGTAGGAGGTAGAATAGGGTCGATATTTCAAATCAGTTCTAGCTGTTCGTCAGTTCTAGCTGCTCATAGTTCTATCATACTGTTACTCAAAAAAGGCCCGGTTCAAACCAAATCCTTAGAGCGCTGCTGTCAAAACCATGCTTTATCGTTGATTTACTGTCTTGGATTCCCCGTCTGAAATACTGAACAGTAATGTCTTTGTTTGAGTTTTTGTTGTCTACTAACGTTTACATTTTTTACGCTTTATATGTGTGATTCGTGAACAGATCGTTGGCCAACACTTTTAGCCTTCAATATATGCACAACAGTCACGGGTGACATTAGGTTCTTGAATAATAAGTCGTCAGATGTCTATTTGTTGTATATGCCTTTGTCTGACGTGATCAATTTGTCGATTTGCTCAGAATTTTTTCCTTTGCGTTCAATTCTTGGTTTGAAGTGGTCTGATAAATAGTTTTGTTTGCTTTGTGTATAACAAGAAGGTAAAGCAGAATATGGCCTAAGAGACCCCGCTCAGTTCAGGTCCTGGGGCGTTACAGATGTCTTCATGGGTGCGACTTTCACTAAAGTTCACTAAAAGTCTCACTGGCTCAGCGCCATAAGTTGCTTGGCTTGATACAAATATTACTTGCATGTTTCATAACTCCAAACAAACCTACAAGAGGCTGGAGGTGTCCCTCCTCCAACCGAGCTTGTCAGAAGAAAGCAGCACTGATATTACCCCCTATAAAAATCCATGTTATAACAGCTACCCCCACCATTTGCACTTTTGTGTCATTCCCCCACTAACAGTTTGGAGTACTGGTTCAGTTCTTATGTCGTCATTATGTTGTCCGATTACCATGCCGTCAGTACCGAGCGCACGACCAATGCGATTATGGCGAATGCCGCTTCTAATTTATGCAAAGTAACACAGCGAATGACAATTCAGCTTAGTACTGGGTTGACATGATAGTACGATATGATAGTAGGTCAAAGGTTTCTGCCCTTCGTCTCCTTCCCACATGCCGGGGCACGTCGTACTTGGGACTGCCACCTAGTGGACCGTAATCGGCAGCTGGAGGGAGAGGAGGAGAGGGTTGTACTTTCCTTTGAGAAGAATGTTTTTAATGTTGACTGTTCACAGTTTTTCCCGTTTCAAGTGCGCTCCATCTCCTATCCTTCCAGCCGGGCTACATTATCGTTGGGGATTCCCCTAGGGAGGGGGAGGGGGTCCTCTTCACCTTCCTAGAAAGATTTGTGGCGTTCTAAAAAATGCTCCCCGTTGTTGATTTCCGCGGTTTCCCGGAAGTTCCACGGAAAAAGTGGAAAAAAGCTCGATGGTATCTGGTATCAGAGGAGGGGGAACTATAGGGTAGAGGGTGGTCGTATGGACACGACCAAAACCTCCAACCAATGATGTGCCCTGCTCGAAGCACTTGACAGCAATTCTAGTTTTCAGGTTTTTTTTTTCAAAGTGCGGTGAAAAGGGAGGGAGTTGGAAGAATTTGGATGCAACGAATGAAGATTGGAAGTGGACTGTATTTCGTGAAATTTCTCCTAAGGACAAATATGACCTGCCACACGGTCCTTTTCAGCATCATTTGTCGGGCGGTAAAGCTTGCCACGCTCGTGGTCCACCAGCGAATCGGCTCGCCCGAGTGAACCACAATCCCTCAATGCCTTGACGACGGTTAATTAATTACCCCTTTGAGGATAAAACACATTTGTACATCAGTTCGCTTTCCCAAGACTTTGTGCAGATTCCAAATGCCATGACGATTCTGAATGGAAGTAAGACGGGTGACGCATCTCGCGAAGGGAGTAGTCAACACAGAGATCTTTACTCTTTTGTATAAGATGGCACCCTTTGAAGTCGTGCATCGTTGCACAGCGTTATTAGGGGCATCCTGATGACTAACTTTCAGTTCGTTCGCTTTAGAAGATCAAATAGTAGGCAAAGAACATTCAACATTGATCCGGAAAAAATACCTTACCCTACCCTTTGGCTCCTTATCTAGAATACGTATCAACTGAATCAGCAAATGATCGACTGCAAACAGTAGAGAAGACGTCAGAAAGCCGTTCCTCCTACTCTCCACAGCAGTTGCATAGGTTAAATATTGTCGACGTTCAAGGTGCCTTACCCATGGGCCCACGCGAGTGGGTCTGGACTGAGTCGAATGGCCTTTCATTTGGTTCAGATGTAGGGCGAGTCCTGAAGCTGTGGGAAACGCCTCGATACGAACGCCCTTTGTACTCTTCCCCAGTGTAGCTTCCCCATTGAAACATTCGTGGAGCGGGGAAGCGAGGGGAACATTAGAACGTCTTAAACGGCAAAATCAACAATGAGCCACAACCCTGCCTGAGCAAACACGATGCTCTTCCCCTCCGGATGTGAATTCCACGGGTTCCTTCCTTAATGGGATCTTCAGCAGGTTTAACTGCTTGTGGAGTCCCCTCCTTATAACGAATAATTGTCAATGAGCACCTACTTACAAGGGCTCATTCCGCCCATATATCGCATTATCGCATGCCAATTTCCCCCCTACGCGCCATGCCATTCTACCGAGGAAATCAATTAGTGCTGAAGCCGTTTCCAATACATCTCATGAAAAGAGCAGCACTTGCAAGATGAACCCCTTCTTGCTCTCCCCTAGGACCAATGAGTCATCTGGCTCGTTGCTAGGATATGGAAGAATTTTTGTTCCGATTCGTATTTTGATTGGATTTTTAGCTGCACTATCTCTTCACCAACAATGCACCTGTTGGAAGATGTTGAAATGAATTTTGAAGAGAATGCAGTTATTTGCTGCCCTTCGCCAAAAAATGACCCGTGCCATGCTACTTTAAAGTGAGGCCCGCTGAACAGCTGTCTTCCTCCGCTTATTTATCAATAGCCGAGACTTTCCCTGCTAAATTTTGATGAGCAAGCAGGATGGGCTAAGAATTAGAAGGGGAACAAAGTAATATTGTGTAAGAAATAAGGCATTAGACGTTGTTGATTCCACTTTGGTGTGCGCCATGCATCCCACTCCAAATCAGAGCCGTGACTACCCATTTTGACCCATATCTTGTCTCAATAGAGGGTCTTCTTATCTTGAACGGACTAGCTTCGCGCTAACCTACTCCAAATGTATAAAGTGCTTCACAGCTTCGGACAAGACGATGCAGGATTTGACCCCTGATCGCGTGCATCATAGAGGGCGCCATTTACCAGTTCACTATTTCCATCCTTGAGAAAGAGTGGAGGATATACTCTTTGATGTGAAAAACGCTTCCTCGGTCCTGCAATGATTTGAGCTCACTTAGAAGAGTTATTTCTACCCGTTGCTCAGGAAGACCTGCCCCTCCTACCCTTTGACGGTAACAAATAGCATGGAATTTTCTATCTCGAATTATAATGTTTCATCGAGCAGAGTCAGACCCTTCACTATTTGTGAAGCATTATCTTGGCTATGGATGGGCCCTTCAAGAAACAATCCGCGCCGACTTCATGGGCGGAGTCGGGCCTTGGAGGTGCGCCTCACCTCACCTATACCGTATGCTCAGAGAGGAAGGCATAGTGGTGTGGCGGACTCCACCCACATGACAGCAGTGGGCTGTGCTTTTGAAGGAGTTGCCTGAAGCTGCCAAATTTAACAACGATGACACAAAAATCAGGCAGATTGGGTTGAGTTTCACCTAGTGCACCATGTTTAAACTAGTCTGTAAGCATTTGATAAGAAGTAGCGAATACCATGAACTAAAAGGCGCAGCCGAAGAAGGATATCTGTGCCTCTGACGCGGCCGCTGCTGAAACAGCCTTTCACAGTTAGTAATCACAACGAAACAGTTTCAATTTTCAGCATGATTACAACGAAGCGTTTACGATTTTCAACGCTATTTTGCGCTCCAGACCCGACTCACCACGAGCGCACTTTGGAAAAGGACGAGGCTATGAGCTCAGGTTTTTATAGACCTTTTTCCTTTGTTTTTATGATACTTTACTTCTACTGTTTCCTTTCTGCATTTGCTTGGAAATAAATTTTGTTCTGTCTTTGTAGAGGAGAACTGACCAGCAATGATCGCGACTTTGCCCGTGCAATCCATGAATACGAACAAGTTCTCGACAATGAAGAAACACCAGATGCGCTATTTCGGTGAGTTTTCTGTAAAGAACAGCTCACATCTAGAATATGCGGAGGGCGTGTCCAGGAGTAAAAGGTGGGTGCAGCGGCGCTGGACACCTGCATTTTGGTTAGCAGACAATGTCGGCTTGATATAGT